CACACAACAGGCCAATAATCGAGAGCTGAGTTGCTGGGGCAAGCAAGAGCGACTTTATTCAGAAAGCCCGCAAACCGAGAAGATGCTGGACTCGTGTCCCAAAGAACCATCCTGCCTGAGTTAGAATTCAGGCCCCTTTTATACTAGAAGGGGAGGGAGTAAAGTCAAAGACTTACTGGTTCCCATCAGCTTCCGGAGGGGATGTGTTCATTTCTTCCTTCCTGTGGTCATCCACAGGTGGGCCTGGTCAGGATGTTTCCTGTGAGCTAAACAAACGTATTTTAGCTTAATGCCCATCACCTGGGAGGCAGGTTCCCAGAGATGGGCCATTATGTATCATTTAAGCTTATAGGCAACATCCCTTTAACGATTAACTTGTGATAGAATACAAAAGGTTCTTCCCTGTTACACAAAGTGATAGGCAGGTCTATTTCTTTTTAGTTTCCTAAGCACAGGGATGATTACCATTTGGGGCTGAAGGCAGTTCCCTTCCGGAGCTGTGAGTGGAGCAAGGAAAAGACATCCTCAGCCCCACCGCCCTGCATTCTCGGTGTCGCCCTGTGGGTGCTAGGACATTACACGAAAGATTCCAAGCTCGTTTGTGGACACTGTGTGCCATGAACTGCCTCAGCATAAGTCCACAGGGAAGAGGGCAGAGGTGAGAGTCAGTCAGCACTTCTGGGTTTGGGTCTCATGCCTGCTGGCTGGGGTGGTTGGTCAGTGTCTGAACTTCTTTTCCACCCCAGTTAGATGTGAATGTTGATGATGATATTTGCATCACAAGATGCTGTGAGGAACAATGGACATGATGAGGGAAGAGAACTGCTTTGTAAAGTATTACAAGGCTTGCTGTTGCCTGGAGAGCTGTTAATGATATGTTCATATCTTTTAGTCCAATTAGCCTACGCCAGCATCCCAGATTCAAAACTGGTTCCCCCAGCATGAGATCAGGACTCAGGGTAGTAACCTTGAAACCTTGATACTGATTGGTTACCAGTGGATTTTAAGGGGCCTCCTTGAGTCTTGTTTTCAAGATATTAAAGAAACAAAACAACTGACCTTTTCTTCCTGGTGTGCTATTCACAACACATCCAGCATCCCTGTTCTTGGTAGGTATATTCAGGTCCATCTTTTACTCATTTTTGGAAGGAATTAAGACCTTGACTCGCTTAAGAAGGCAAGTTCAAGGGCAAACAAAGTTTCCCAGGGCAGTTTTCTGGAAACTCTGAAAACTAGACTTTGAGTGAACCAGAAATTTAATAAATTGCATGTGAAGTTGAATTCAGACAAGAAGAATGTCCCCTCTGTGTGCTCAAACGAGATGCAAACACTTCTACTGTCCAGAGAAACTCAGTTACGAACATCAAAGCCCAGAGATGAACTTGGTTCTGCTCACTTATCTCTGCCTGTTTGCTGCATACTTAATGTGGTGCTCTCTGCCTCTGCTGACGTCACGGCATCTTTGGAAGGAACAGACTTAAGTGCGGGAGGGACCTTCATTTTCCCTTCTCAGGGAGATGTCAACACAGGTACAGAGCCCTTGTACCCCTGTGTACTCGGTGGGCAGGCAGCTGTGTGTGGGACACTGCACACATATGCACGGGTGGGCTGAGCCAAGGGCATGTTGATAGTTCCCAATACAGGGGTCAGATTTGGGTACACTTTCTAAAAATAAAACTACCCCCCAGGTAATTTAATGTTATGTAATAGCATTTGGCAGTCAGAGACGGTTGACGATTGTTCGTGTAACAAGTTTATAGCATGGGCCGCAGGCCAGGCTGTGCATTAAATGCTAGGAATACGAAGCTCGGTGAAACAGACCTGCTAGCCCTCTGTATTGACAGATTTGTTCAGCCACGGATCTGAAACACTCAAAAAAAAAAAAAAATTACAGGAAGTTTCAAAAAGCAAAACTTGAATTTGACTCATGCTGGCAGCTATTTACGTAACGTTTATGTTGAACTTAGAGCTATTTACGTGGTATTTATACTGTACGAGATATTATAGGTAATCTGGAGATGATTTAAAGTATACGGGAGGATGTGTGTAGGTTATATGAAAATACTGCACCATTTTGTATAAGGGATTTTGGAGCTAGTCTCCTGTGGAGTCTGAGGGATGACTGTAATTGGAAATAGGATAGTAAAATAGGCATGTAAAAATCTGCATTAGAAATGAAGTTGGGTGTAGAGTTTGGTAGTGTGCTCTAATATTTCGGTAGGGGAAGGTCCT